ATCTAATTCTTTTCACTTACACTACAATTCAACACTTTTTATTTTGGAAATTTCATATTTTGGACATTTTGGGCTTTAAAAATTTGTTATTGTCGAAAAATAATTTTTAGATCGTGTGTGAATTAAAAAATTAAATTTTAAAGTTCTGAATGTTCTTCGCATGCTTTATAGTAATAGAACAATACTGCGCATGCGTAATAGTGATAGAACACTATTGCGCATGCTTTATAGTAATAGAACAATACTGCGCATGCGTTATAGTGATAGAACACTACTGTGCATGCGTCATACTGATAGAACACTACCACGCATGCGTGATACTGATAGAACTTTACTGCGCATGCGTGATACTGATAGAACTTTACTGCGCATGCGTTATAGTAATAGAACACTACTGCGTATGCGTTATAGTGATAGAACACTACTGCGTATGCGTTATAGTGATAGAACACTACTGCGCATGTCTGACATTGACAGAACACTACTGCGCATGCCTGACATTGGTAGAACACTACTGCGCATGCGTTATAGTGATAAAACACTACTGCGCATGCGTGTATATATATATATATATATATATATATATATGGGACGTTCCATGTCAACCGGATCAGTTCTCTGTACATAATTCTATGGGATCAATTGTAACGTGTAAGGTATTAAAATGTTCGTCTTGAAGTACTCTAACAGTTACAATCTGGCCTTTTTAAAAATCCAAAATGGCGGCCAAGTTCTGACAGATTATATGTCTGAAAAGTAGAAAATATCTAAATAAAACTTCATTTAAGAAGAAAGAAAACGTTCGAATTGGTATTTCATTGATCACCAACACTGCTAGAGGTCTAAAAAATCAAAATATGTTGACACTTTTTAAAATTTTCAGAAATACAAAATGGCGGATCCAATATGGCAGACTATTTTTTAAAAAATGACCCAATTTACTCGAAACTTGTTACTCGGGGGTTTTTGGGGTCGCTGATTACAAATCTGAACTCAATTTTCAAAAATACAAAATGGCGGATCCAATATGGCGGACTATTTTTTTTAAAATATGACCAAATTTATTCGAAACTTGTTACTCAGGGGTTTTTGGGGTCGCTGATTACAAATCTGAACCCAATTTTCAAAAATACAAAATGGCGGATCTAACATGGCGGACTATTTTTTTTTTAAAATGACCACATTTACTCGAAACTTGTTACTCGGGGGTTTTTGGGGTCGCTGATTACAAATCTGAACCCAATTTTCAAAAATACGAAATGGCGGATCCAATATGGCGGACTATTTTTTTAAAATATGACCAAATTTAATCGCAACTTGTTACTCGGGAGTTTTTGGGGTCGCTGATTACAAATTTGAACCCAATTTTTAAAAATACAAAATGATGGATGTAATATGAAGAAGTATTTTTTTAAAAACGATCTAATTTACTCGAAACTTGTAAATCGGGGTTTTTTCAGGTCGCTGATTACAAATCTGAACTCAATTTTCAAAAGTACAAAATAACGGAACATTTTTGCAAGCACGATTCAATGAATGTCTGATTCCTTTATGAATTGATAATCACACTGTAAAGGTTAAAAAAAATTTACAATGAATACTGTTAATATTTTCACACTTATATAGGGCAGTATAGTCGGACCACCTTTTTTTGAGTAACGGAAAATTGATCCTTTATTGTTTACAGCTTGTAACTTAATAAAATAATAAAATAACTTTGTTTTTTTAACCATGAGTCCCACAAAATTTCTGCTTGCTTACCTTGATGATTCCATTTTTTTATCTTTTATTAATGGTTTTTCACATGATGGACAAAACTTTCATTGAGCTTTTTTGTACCGACGTCACAGAAAACACTACTTTTGATTCTCCGAAATTGTAATGGAACGAAAAGTTAGGTTTCACTAAGATAAGCTTCGGCAAGCATGCGCGTAGGTAACGCTTGTGAACTTGTCCAAAAAAATCGCGAATGGCCTAACTAGACTAAACCTAAGAATGGATGGTCAGAAACAGGTTATGTAGAAAATATTGTAATTACATTTAAATCTACTTAATGAACTGTTTAAGCATATAAAAATTCTAAAATTAAAATTAATTGAAGAAAATTTGCAGAACTAAAACCAAAATAATGTGTATGTTTAATCAACAAAAACCTCAAATACACTGAAAGAATTTTGGGCAGAGTGCAAGTTTTAAATGGGAGCCGCCAGAGCTCTCTGTCTTAGGGATCGCATCATACCTCCAAAAGCGAAGATCTACTTCCGAAGGGTAAGCAGTAACTCCTTAGGTGCTGCTGTTCACCTTTCGGGAAAAGATTCTTCCTGTTTTGAGGTGAGATGAGAAATCTGAGACAGAGAAATCTGGCGGCTCCTATGTAAAGCTTACAGTCTGACCAAAATTCATTCAGTGTAGATGAAAAAACATTTCGTTCTAAATTTTGACAAAACATACAGACTTAAATAAAATTTCAACATCACTGCTTCAAGTTTATTGCGTTCAAAATATTAAAACATGTTTGTATTCTATGCATAAGATAATATTACGTAATGCTAAGTTTAAAAGAAACATGTTTATACAGTAACAATTTTCAAAGCACAGAGAAAAAAGAAGGAATTTCTAAAGATTGTACTTTGAGAAACTAAGTTAATATCTGTACTTAGCTAACTGAGAAACCCCCGAGTAACAAGTTTCGAGTAAATGTGGTCATTTTTAAAAAAAAATAGTCCGCCATATTAGATCCGCCATTTTGTATTTTTGAAAATTGAGTTCAGATTTGTAATCAGCGACCCCAAAAACCCCTGAGAAACAAGTTTCGAGTAAATTTGGTCATTTTTTAAAAAAATAGTCCGCCATATTGGATCCGCCATTTTGTACTTTTGAAAATTGAGTTCAGATTTGTAATCAGCGACCCCAAAAACCCCCGAGTAACAAGTTTCGAGTAAATTTGGTCATTTTTTAAAAAAATAGTCCGCCATATTGGATCCGCCATTTTGTATTTCTGAAAATTTTGAAAAGTGTCAACATATTTTGATTTTTTAGACCTCTAGCAGTGTTGGTGATCAATGAAATACCAATTCGAACGTTTTCTTTCTTCTTAAATGAAGTTTTATTTAGATATTTTCTACTTTTCAGACATATAATCTGTCAGAACTTGGCCGCCATTTTGGATTTTTAAAAAGGCCAGATTGTAACTGTTAGAGTACTTCAAGACGAACATTTTAATACCTTACACGTTACAATTGATCCCATAGAATTATGTACAGAGAACTGATCCGGTTGACATGGAACGTCCCATATATATATATATACAGTAATTTTTCGAGAAATTAAGAGTTCTATGTCTATAAATATGTTTTTTGGGTGTATTTGGGTGAGATTATGTAAAAATAGTTGAAGTTACTTTTAATTCTTTGAAAATATTTTTATTTTTAGAGTCATTTTGGGATTTTTTAGTTTTTTTGACGATTTACGATCCTATAACTCCGAAATTTGACTTTTTATGAAAAAATGTTGTAGAAAAAAGTTGTTTGTATTTTCCTAAGCTATCGTAATATGCAAATAAAAATTAAAAAATTTGAAAAAATTGATTTTTCAAAATTTTGAAAGTACTGTAATTTTTGTATTTTTTAATGAAAATGGCTGGTTAACGAACTTGGCCTTCATTTTTGCACCAACTGTAAGTGTTAAATTTAAATACGATCGGATAAGTTTTTCAAGAGTTATCGTGGGAACAAAATTTTTGATCTACAGACAGACAGACACCATCGCTGGACCATGTTTTTTGGGTTCAGGGGACCCCAAATCGTCGAGATTTCATGAAATTAGCGAAAGTCAGTTTTCGACCAAAACTAATACTTTCTCATATGATGAGAATGTAATAAAAATTACTTTTTTTGAAAATAACTCGAAAAGTATAGGGTTTGGCGAAATGGTGTCTACAGCAAAGTTGTAGCAGAGGATGAGGCGAGAATAAAAGTCTCTAGTAGCAAGATTCTATATCAAATAGATTCGGAGATAATTGAGTCGGAATATCGATTTTTTGCCAAAAAAATAATATATATATATATATATATATATATATATATATATATATACATATATATTAGACCTGTATTAGACCCTACGAAGGATTACCACAAAAAATACGAACCCTTGAACAATAGCCTTTGTAAATGAGGGACCCAGGTATCTTCCTTCATCGCAAGGAAAATTATAGATAAAACCTGGTAAGAAGGTGAGGATTAAAAGCGATAAAAGTGAATTCAAATTGTTATGAAATCTGTACACACATTAATCCAAACGAATGTCGTTTTTGTCCAGTTCCATTTTTATTCATTTTTGGTAAAAACAACTGTTTCCATTTTTATTCTGTTTAATTCTTTGAAAATTTAGTACACAAGTTGTTTACATTTTAATACTTATCCTAATAGCGTAAACTGGAATCAGTTTAAAACCATTGTATTCTGTAAAATAAGTGCTTAACCTGAAGTAATTTTAATTGTCGTGGCGAGCATACGATTTTTAGCAAATAAATCCAATTCAACATTGAACACAATTTTATACTATCCCCGATAAAGTATATGAAATCAAAGTAATCATATTAATTAATTTTAATTCCTTTAGACGAAATAATATTGAGAAAAAGCCAATCGTTTTAAATCTTGTTGTCAATTTTCTAAGAATTAATAATAAAAATAATTAGATAATAATAATTAAATTTAATCATTTTTTATTAATGCAAATTACTTAAATAATATGTAATTATAAAAATTTATTTATCAACTATAATTCGCAAATAATTTCCAAAATAATAAATTAATAATTAAAAATAAATTTTTTTAATTTAGTAAGTAAATTAAATAGAAAGCATTAATTGTTATTATTTTCCTCTATGTTGATAATAATAATCATTTTAAATAAATAAAGAAGTATGATAAATAATTAACATATATGCAATATTGTATATGTAACATAGGAATAAGCAAATAAAAATATAATAGTTAATGCACAATTTATTTTATTTAAAGTTAAATTGAATGAAATATAAATGTATATATATTTCCATACAATTACTGAGCCTCAATAGTGTTCGGAATTTGGCATACATATTGCTTATCCACAAATTCTAAGCCTACAACTTTGGATTCAATTTCTGTCAATGGAATATCTACATGTTGAATATTTTTCGTAATTTCCCAAATATGGTCGATTTTTACTTCTCCAACAGAAAAAGGTTTAAGAACTAGTTCTCTCAATTCCAACCAACCGTTTATTACCGTTTTTATTTTTTTACACCGTTTATTACCTTTATTCCCGTAATTTGTGCAATTGTCCCATTTCTCAAAATAACAATTGTGTCGTTGAATTTCTTCGATCTATTATACTTTGTACTACAATAAATTCGATTGTTAATTATACACCTATCAAATTCCAACTCCTTCTGAAACTTGTTTTTTAAATGTGGTCCGAAAAATGTATAATTGTCAAATGTAAAAGCGCTGTCAGTTACAGTTTTAGAGTTAAAAATATTTTTACAATACTCTTGAACAATACTAGAAACATTAGGATTCTGTGGTTCAAGTTTGTACGAAAGTAGTTTCAGTGACTTTGATGACATTTGTTGTTCTATACTTTTTTGCCCATTCATAGTATTTTTTAAACAGAAAATATTATGTTCAAAGGGGAACGCTGATGTGGACCAAAGGGGACCAGTCATTCTAACAGATTGAACAGCATGTAATAAAATGTGAACATTGAATGTCATGTTATTGTCACCGTACAATGCGTTATAATCACCAACAAATATTAACAAATCTTCTTCACATTTCGCTAATTCCGCTTCTGTAATTTTTATTTGCAGCAAAGTTTTAATTGAATTTACGAATAAGGCACATTTTTCTACCAATTCGAGTGGTAAAAATTTGGACATAATAGGCAAACAATAGTACAGAAGCCAAGACTTCCAATGCATCGCTTTCCACAAACTTTTATCTGATATTTTTTCAGTCACTCTATGTAAATCACGAGGAGGTTGAATTTGAAGAAGCAATTTGTCGACTTCTCTACGCTCAGCAGGAACAAGATATTCTTTGTTCCAGTTGTTCCACATTTGTACAATAACACCTAAAACTGCGTTGTGAACATAATCAAGAGGAAATCCCCATACCATATCAATAATAGGATTATCTAAAAAAGCTGACTCGCCTTTTACTCCTAGCACAGACGAGGAGCCAAGTTTTAGAACATCCTTTACATCCGTCAGATGAGTCTCATGTGTCCTAAGTTCTGGTTCTTTCTCTAAAAATGGAAACCTTATTCCCGCTCCATAAAAATATTTTGCCATATGATAGCAGTATGAACATGAACAATATGCATTATACTGGAATCTATTCTGCAATACACATCTTGCTTTAGAATCAGCAACGACACAAACAGGTCCAAATCTCAGTAAAATATATTTGTCATGGTGTGGAACTTTAACTTGTATACCCTCTGATTGTAAATGCTTCGTTTGTTCTACAAACTTTTTGATAAATAGATTCATTAAGTCAGGTTTTGGCTCATGACGAACAATCATTATACCAACAAGTAGTACATATTTAAATCGAAGATGAGGAGGCAAAAAGTTCAATATTACTTGCAAGGGCCAAAATGAACGTTTCGACATGTTAAAAGGAGGAGCCCCATCTGTACTAAGTACGTACGTTAACATTTTACTATCTCTCTCAATAATAGATTTGTGTAATTGTCCATCATGAATATCACAAATTATAGGATCGAAGACTTCAGTTTCTCGACTTTTAAAATTTTCGAAGACAAATGTTGCAATTTCTTCATTTTGTAATAATAAATTAATTTGATATTCTAAATCAATTGATAAAAAAAAATTTGTATTGCTAAGAACGATACTATGTTCTTTATCACATTTTGAACAAACTTTTCTTTGACCCTTTACTTCTTTTTTAAAACCAGAATATAAAACAGAATCTTTTTTTCGCAATTGTCACAATAAAAGTGATGAACGATCTTGTCGGAAGGAGTGTGACATAATTTAAAAACCTTATAGTTCGATAATTTAACATCTTTAAATGATGAACCTGCGCAGACTTTTAACATTTCTAAAAGCCATTCACGTTGTTGATTAGTACTACCAAATCTGATACTGAAACCATTGGCCATTGTCAACAATAGTCGGATCATTTCGTAATATTTCTTCTCTGCTCGTCGGTATGTTTTCTTTTACTAGAGTTTCTTCCAAATTTATAGAACAAGAATTGTTATTATGATGCGCCATATTTTGAAAATTTTCATCGTCTGTTTCATCGTCTGTAGAACAACCATCGTACTTATTGCAGTTTATGCCATGATCTAAATCATCTTGATGCAATACATCCAACTCGTCTTTGATCTTTTTTTCATGTAATCCTTCTTTCAATAGTGCTTGATCATTGGATTTTTCTGCCATTCCTGTACAAAAAAATATAACTTTTAAAAGTTTTTTCAATTTCTTTTCTTTTTATTCTTTTTCTTTAAATTAAAAACTTTTGTCAATAAAATGATGTTACTGTATGAATGGATGTGGAATGACAAAAAACAGGAGTCGGTAAATATAAGACTTTGTTAGGTAATTACACATAACTGAATTTTTATTATTTAATTTGAATTATCAAATTTATCTAATTAACATTTATGTTATATAGAAGTTCACAAAAAAGTATGATATCTAATACGCATACAGATTTAAATTTTGTTTCATAATATAATGATTATATATAAAGAAATTAAATTTATAGTATTTTAAAAATTATCTAACATACAAAGCATTAAGTTTTAAAAAAATAAATTTTTGTCTGAATAATAGAAAATTTTCAAAAGTAAAGTAGCGACAGAAATTGCAAACAGGAAGAAAATAAAGTTTGATTTTGAAAAAGAAGATAATTATTTTTTCTATATTTAGAAAAATTTGAAAAATCACTGAAATAAAAGCTTTAAAAGTCCCTATTTAAGAATTAAATTTTTTTTTTAATATAATATGAATTAAAATAGTCTTTAATGAGCTTGATTTTTTAGTCGAATATAGGGCAAAGATTTATAAAATTTCTAGACTTTATATTATAAAGTATTATTTTTGACAATGAACCATTTATATATATACACTTGCACTTACTTTCTTTTATGTTTCTTAACTTCTCTTCTGCTGATTTGTACCAGGCTCTCTCGCTTTTCATGCTCAACATAGATGAATTATAATTTGGATCTAAAATCGTTTTGTACCGTTTGCGTTTTGCACCTACTTCTGCTACTTCCTCACTCATATTGCAGCTAAAATAAATTTGTAAATAAATAATATGTTCACAAAACAATGTCAAATAAGTATTGAATGCTCAATAAAAGTGTCAGTAAAGAAGAGATTTTAATTTTTCGAGATAAATTATAATAACTATATTAATGTTTTTGCAAATATATCAAAACTTATTGAACTAAGAATTCAATATTTACTTTATGAAAAACGTATTTTGTCAAAATGTATTTACCACTCTGTTGGCAGATTAATAAAAACAATAAAGGTTATCACTTTAAATGCGAAGTGATCGTTGGCTTTATGAATATTTTCTATAAGTTACAAATATAAAATAATGTAAATATACTGATTATATTTATGAAAAATTGAAGATTCATTGAAATAAATTGATAGCGTAGGTATAATATGATTACAATTTATGTAAAATGGAATATTTTTTTGAGACATAAATATTATTTTAATTGCACAATGGAATATAATAAAGCACACTTTATCATTAACAACATGATCTGCATTTTATGATAATATATATATATATATATGAATTCTTAAAATTAGTAAGTAATATATTTTGAATTTTATTATAATAGTATACTTTTTTTAGATTTAATTGGATTTAATTATTAGATTGTTATATTTAAAACCATTTTGAGGTTATACATGTGGTTTCTTGTACAGAGAGAATAGAAACAACATTGTGATAATCAAGAGACTTTTGCTTTGATTATTTTTACTGAATGTTAAATTGTACTTACCAAATTTTTCAATATTTATTACGAGGTTTAATATTTCCTTTGTTAATAAAATTTTACAACTTTCCGCGACTTTCAATTATTAATTGAAAAGGGACTTGCACAGTTAGAGAATGAGAAGAGGAAGTAAAAGAGGTTAGTACATATAACCTATACGATATAGCGCCGTATTCTTTTAAACCGCGCACTTGCGCACCACGCATAAATACAACAAGTCACGTGATATTTGGGAATCTTCCTCGTTCTCAATTCCTCTTGGAAAAAATTTGCCGGTAGTACATGGTGTATAAATATCAATCGCAATTGTTCGACGAATGTAAAAGTTTAGTTTTGAAAGTGAAATTTTTGCTCAGTATTAATTTTGAATAATGTCTGTAGCATATGTTTTAATATTAGGAGGAACCGGAGGAACAAAAATAAAAAAGAAAGTTCCTATTAAAAGTATTAAGAAATTCAGCGCAGAAAAACACGTGCCTAACCAAAAGTATAAATTAGAAGGAGAACCTCAAACAGAATGTATTATTCTCTTTATGGCAGGTAAGTAAAAATGTTTAATAAAATGCCATGGCTATAATAAATCAATTACCAAACAATATTATTTTGACATTTGTAAGCAAACAAGTAATTTTATAGGTTAATGTTTTAGTTTGTCAGAGTAAAAAGAATTAATTTTTATAAATTAAATTGAGTATTTTTAAAATTTGATATTAATTTATCTTTTCTAATTTATTATTGATATAAATAAATCCCTAATTAGAGTAATTTTATAATTTTGCTTGGTAAGACATATTTGATAGCTTTATTTTTTATAAAAAAGATTACGTGTTCTATGCTTACATTCTAAAAAATTACGTAAAAATTTTTTTTTGAAACATTAAAAATGACAGTATTTAAAAAATACATAAATAGAAAATTGTTAATAAAATGTGGACATTATTTTTACGTTAATCTTCATATATTTCGTTATTTTTATTTGTAATCTCTTTTAAAAATAAGAAAATATTAATTGACCTTTGAAAATTGAATGTTTACATTGATATTTGTTATTTTTGAAAAAATAAATATACGTTACCCTGTTCACTACAATTGTTTGGTTTCACTATATATTTTCAATTTTATCTTTATTTTTACAAAATTTCAGAAAACGAAAAAGAGTTGGATCTTATCATTCAGAATCATCGACCTCGACAACTTTCAAATAAATTACTACATTCCGCTGCAGAAACAACTGATGATGAAAAGAAACCTTCTAATACTAGTCGCAAACGACAGGTTAGTTTTTTTATATCTACTTCGAATTAACGAACATATTTTTTGTGTCATTGCATATTTTTAAATTGACATAATATTTTAAAAAAGTTAATTTATTATTTAGTTGATCAATTGTAAATGAAATATTATTATTTGAGATATTTTCTTGTAGGCAACACAAGAGAAAATTCATCAAACGGTAAAGAAGCGTCTAGAAAATTTAAAAACAAAGAATAATAACCGGCTTTTAGCGAAAAGTGATATTATTCATATTTCAGAGAAAGAACCATTATATCAAGATAATACAAGTGGTGAACATAATATGATTAATGTTTCTTCAAATATCAAGACTAACGTTACAAATATTGTAAGGAAATTTTTTAAAAATAATTATAGTAATAATATTATACCTCTTTATCATATAATTAAATTTAATCAAATTATAATCTGCAGGAAAATGTACAAAATAAAATTGAATCCTTGGAAAAACAGAATGCATTCTTTTTCGAGGAAATAAATATGTTAAAGGATAGCCTGTTAAAGAAAGATCATGATTTGTCAACTAAAGAAAATGTAATAAATTTCTTGGATGATGAAGTACAAAGAAGAGTTGAGGAACTATCCAATCTTCGAAAATTAAATATGGAATGGCAAAAAACAGGACTCGATAAATATAAGACTCTATTAGGTAATTACATATAACTGAATTTTTATTATTTAATTTAAATTATTAAAATCTAATTAGCATTTATGTTATATAGAAGTTCATAAAGCGACCGTAGAAAAATCTTCAGCTCCCCAAGAAGGCAGTAAATACCCAGCAATTGGATTTATTACAGAAGATGAAACTTAGGTTAAATATCTTACTTCTTCTGAGTGCATGAAAATATTACAATTTAAAAAAATGCTATTTTATCTCTTCCTAAAAAAATGTTTTTGTGAGCAGCTGTTTTTTGATTATATTGCCTATTTTTAATATTGGAGATTTATTTCCTTTATATAGTGTAACAAAATGTAAAAAAATTTCAAATCAATCAAAAAATTCTGTGTAGAAAGTTGACTAGACTGGTAAAGAATAAGTCAAATAAAGAATAAAATATATACACAGTATCCATAATAGAATTATTAAATATAAATCTATTTTTTATAGGTTCATATTGGTAGAGGATTATACTTATCAATGCAGGCATGGACTTTAGCTCTTCATGTGCCTAACAATAGACATATTACTTTCGCCAAAAATATTTTGGTTGCACTTTGCGGATACGATTATTTATCAGAGACCACTGTTCCTGGCAAGGGGAGTAATAGGAATAAGCAAACTAAAAATCCTAAAAAAAGGCTGGACCCGAAAATTTTACTTGCTGTAAGAGGTAATTAAAATTACTTTAAAAAAATAAGTTATACATATAGTCTATAGAACAAGTCTAACTTTTTACAAAATATCTTTATTTTCTTAAACTTTCGATTGCTCTTAAATTAAATCAAAGTCTGACAATTATAACGTAACCTAAAAATGAACGTACGGTTTTGAAATTTAATTATTTTTTACACTTAAACGTTCTATATCCCAAAAAATTTTGTAAGTCTTTATTAAAAGTGTTACTGTAAATACTTTCTAAGCTTCCAATTTTTCTATTCTTTGACTAAAAAAGTTATTAATATTGCAGCATCGAAAAATAATAAGAAAGTGCCAATTTTTAATAATGAATGTATTAATTTAAATTCATATACCTTTAAGATTTCTACAGTTATTATCTGGTTACGGAAAAAAAGTGGAAAGAAGAAGATGCTGATGTTGCTGCAGGCAAAGTTCATCTTTATATTAGCAAGAAAATAGCTCAAATTACAGAAATGAAAACAAAAGCGTATGCAGAAAAAAATCAACGAAATCTCCTTGGGGTAGAGGAAGAAGAGAATGTTGACACTGCAACACTAACTGAAAGAATTTTCGAATCCGAAGAAATTGATAATAATCAATCGGTTTCCAAAGAAGATGTCACAGGAAGTGACGTTTCTATGGAAAAACGAAATATAGCAAATGTGCTAAACCTAAGTAATGTTGAAATTAAAAATGATATAGGAAACGAGGAAAAAATGTTTCTTTTAAACTTGGATGAAAGTGCACTGCTTGATTCTCATTTGAGTGATGAAGAAGACATTTTGCTGGATCCTCTACAAATGAGCAGCAACGTTTAATTAATATAAAGTTAAAAGATTTTTTATCGTTTGGCTACTTAACTTTTTAGTGTGATTCCACAAAAAGGTCATCACTTCTTGGAGCATAATAACAAATGTTTTTTAAAAATAGTATTATATTTATGAGGCCAAAGTTTAAAAGAACTAAATGTTTTAAATTAAAATAACTATTATATGACTTCAAATTTAAAACTAATGAAAATTTAAAAAATTGTTATATCTTTTTAAAAATTTAAGGTAAATAAGTGTAGTGTGTTGCAGAAAATTAAGAAAAATGAAACTACCAGGCAATTATTATCTCTTAATATTTTAACAATAACAGTCAACTATTATTTTGTTAATTGCGAAATATAAAAAAATTGTTTTTAAGCTATTTGAGAAGCAATAAATGTAATATTGACAAATTTATTAAGAATAGCCTGAAAAGTAGTAAATTTCTCAGGAAATCGCACTTTAATGATTATATTTGGATATATTTTATCTCTATTTTAACAAAAATAAGATCTCATTTTAATTTTAAATTAACTGTCACTTAAAACCGAATCATTGTTTAATGTTATGCTAAATTTAAATTTATTTTCATCTACAGTATTTAAATATTGTTAGTATCTTTCTATTTTATGTGATTAGTAATTTTATGTATTAATATCATACGAATACAGTCATAATGCTTAAATTAAGATTAAAAAGACTGATAAATGTATGAAAACGTGAAGTATTATTAGTATTAAAAAGAAATATCTTTGATTATTTATTGTATTCTTCGTTCAATCAACAGATACATCGTGGTTGGAGCCCTAAATGTTTCATAAAAAAACACGTTTAAAAATGAATAACTTTTCTACTATGTATGTTTTAAATTTAATTTTATAAACATTTAAAGCAAAATTAAATATTTTATTATCGCTTTAAATTTATTTGTCTTTATTTATTCTTATTATTCATATTTAATTTAATTTAAAAATGTATAAACAAGTTAATTCTAAATACTTTATTTACTTGATAACAATTTTATAATTTTATAATTTATAATTCGTGAATTTTTCTATTGATTTTTAAGTACCGAAATAAATCCTCAAAGTTCATGCCAAAATTTTGTCCATTTGGGCGATAAAGGGTTAAATGAATATATGGAAAATAAATCACAATAAATTATTTAACTGAACAATGTAGTACAAATATACTTTTTGTTCACAATTTCTAAAGTTTCTTTATTAATTTGACATAAACAGTAGAGGTTTGTTTGTATAAGATGCTAACTTTAGTGTTAACTTTATTATGTTTGAAATATACAGTCAAATGATATATATGTTTTAATTTCAAATATATTTTGGACTGTCATAATTATTAGAATTTAAAAGATTTTCAACCTTTTTAGATAACAAGTTAATTTTCATCCTGCTATAAGATATTTGAGAAGAATTGAAAAGCAATATTTAAACTTTTTTAAAAAATATTATATAAACAAATTTTTTGCTTTGAACATGTATTTATTGTATTTTAACATTTTCTTCAACCAAATTAAAAGTAAAAAAAAATTTTTCAATTACTTAATTTTTTTATTTTGGCCACCTTTTTTGCATTTTGGACCACTGTGGTCCGGGACCAAAAAATAATTTGGAAATGAATTTGAATAACATTTGTTAATTCTGAAACAACTTGAACACATTATTTTGATATTTTGACTTTTTCTGAGTTTTCCGCTATTTTCACACATTTTCCGATATTAAAGAAAAATCATCAATATGATGATAGATCTAAAAATATTTTAGAACTAAACTCCAGTTAACTTTGTTCAACTCTAAACTGATTTTAACTACGAAAGCTTAATTTGTTATAATTTTTTCATAGACTTTCCGATTTTTCCGTCAATAAAAAAACCTACAACAGTTATTTCTAGTCCACAAAATAATTTACAAAAGAATTTGAAGAAAAAACTGAAAGAAAAAACAATTTTTCAAGTTTAAATTGATTCTGGCTACTAAATCTCAATTTGTTACAATTTTCATAATTTTGGCATAGATTTTCCGACTTTCCTGTCAATATTTAAGTTTACAACAGTTATTCCTAGTCCAAAAAATAATTTTTAATTTCTAAAAAATGACTTTAGATTCGTAATCAGCGACCCGGAAAACCCCCGAATAATAAGTTTTAGAAAAATAGTATTGATTTTTAGAAAATTCGTCCGCCATATTGAATTAACCATTTTGGATTTTTAAAACCTGATTTCAAATTTACAATCACCGCCTCCAAAAACCCCCGAGAAACAAGTTTCAAGCAAATTCAGTCAATTTTTCAAAATTCATCCGCCATTTTGTTTTTTCTTTAAACTGACTTTAAATTCGTAATCACCCTGGTTAAAAAACCGGACAGATATCGGACTAATCCGAAATTTGTGCGAAATAATGCGGTTTATGGTCAGGTTTTTGTCACCCGAAATTAATCCGGAAAAATCCGAACTCTATACGGTTTGTGAACAACTAAAGAAACCGGAGTTGGTTCGATGAAGTCCGAAATTAATCAGTTAATTTTAACTAGTAAATCCGGAATTAGTCCGAAACAGTCAAAAATTAGTCCAGACAATTTAGTGAATGTTAATAAAGAAATAATTATACAAGTTACACATAATTATTATTACTTTATGGTACATTCAACATATTTTTCGATTTACCTATCGCAATTTTATTTACATTAACTTAACATTTCTAACGCTTGGGGATTCGAACCTACACCTATCTAACATTATATCGCACCGAAATCGAATACACTAACCACTATACCACGCTCGCATGGGAGTTCAAATTCATAATAGAATTTATGAAGTGCCACGAAAAGAAATTACAAGAAACTAACACATCATTGTTAATTTTAATATTGAAACAAGATAACTAATAATACTAGTGAATTTTTAAAAACAAATTGACTGCAGAATTAAATATTTTATTTACCATAAGTAAATACCCTGAATAAAAATTGGGACCGATTTCGGACTAATCCGGAATTTTTCCGCAACAGTACGGTTTATTGTGGAGTTTTTTTTACCATGAATTAGGTTTGAAATTAATACCGTTTTTTATAACTATTGAATCCGTAATTAGTCCGGTTTAATCTGCAGTTAGTCAGATCATATGCGACTAGTAAATGCAGAAGTAATCCGGTTGGTTTAACCAGTGAATCCGCAGTAGCTAATCCGAAACAGTCTGCTTATGGACAGGTTTTTGTCGCTCATAAATTCAAGCTCAATGCGGTTTGTGTATAACCAGTGAATCCGGAATTAGTCCGAAGTTAGTCTGATAATACGCAACTTGGAAATGTGAAATTATTAAATCCGGAATTAATCTAGTTTTGGTCAGGTTTTTATCCTACGAAATTATAATTATAGTTTGAATTTATCTGCATTTAATACAAATTGTTTTTAATATACAAATTCAATATTATACCAAAATCATTTTGGATTAAGTCTTTGAATTGGATTGAATATGAATTGTTTTGAACTGTCTGTGGATTGTACATATTTACAAATTCTTATAATAATAAGACTTATTTTCGGACTGGGGTGTTTTGATCGGATATTATTCGGATTGACGCTGACTATTACCGGATTCTTTGCATACAAATTTTGGATTGTTTCATACTTGTTTTGGATTAAATCTTTTAACTGGATTAAATTCGGATTATTGCGGACTGAATGATAAAGAATACGAATTCTTTACATATTGATTTCGGATTATTTCGTATTTATTTTAAATGAGTTTTTTGACGGACATAATTTCGGATTGTTGCGTAATAATTACAAACATAATTCATAGATATTTATGATTACTCCAGACTGATTTAGGATTCACAATTTCATTCGGATTGATGTTAGATTAACGCGGATTATTTTCGTACAATTATCGTACTTATCCACACTAATATACCGGCATTAATTCCGGATTAGTCCGAAATTTTTACCAGGGATACCGGATTCTTAGCATACATATTTCGGATTGTTTCGTATTTGTTTTGGAATAGGATTTTACCACACTAATTCCGAATTGAAGCGGACTAATGTCGGATTCTTTGTGTACAGATTTTTTGATTATTTCGT